TTGTCCTCCAGCGACCACAATACCTTCTTTTGCACCTTTATTCCATTTCATTACGCGATGATTATTTCTGTCTGATACGTAGACAGTCTGTTGTCGATCGACAAAGAGATATGTTGGCACGTTGAGTTGATTAAGACCATCACCTTGATCATTACCACCAGCTACGAGAATGCCATTCTTCTCACCCAATTGATATCGTGTTACTTCATGTTTTTCGGTGTCAGAAACGTAGAGATATCTCTGTTCATCCATAGCCAATCCCCAACAGTCGATCTTGTCGATGAGTATTTCACCTTGTGTTGTGCCACTACGACGAGACCATCGTACAACTCTTCGATTCCCTGCATCACAAATAATGAGACTATCCGTCTCTTTGTCAATTAATACATCACTTGGACAATACAATTGATGTGATCCATCTCCTTGGCCTTTGTCACCAGCAACAACTTGTGCATTCGTTGTATCACCGTTCTTCCATTGCATGATACGATGATTCATGTAGTCAGCAATAACCACTGTTTGATCATCATCAACGAAGAGACCAAAATGGTAGTTGAGTTGATCAGTGGCACCACCTTGCCCGTTACCTCCAGCAATAGTCACACCTTTCTGTGCCCATGTAGCATTAGCAGGAATATTAACTAGAAGAGAAGCGTAAGAATAAAAGGAGATCTCTCTCTTTCTCTCGAGTATAGCTAGTATATGAAATAGTTTCGAAAGTATCGAGCAAAATTCTTTGAATAAATCATTCTTTTTTCTAGCAACTCCTCAGAATAAGTTGTTTCTATACTGGAAAATTATTCTATAGAAAGAATCACACATATAGCATATCGTTCTCTCTCTCAAGTGTATTTAAATTGTATATTTTTATAGAAAATCAAACTTAAATAAGTAAATCTTGTTAACCCAAGCAGACATTAAAAAGTCATTCAATCAGAATTTCAAGTGATGAACTCTATCTATTTTTTCTTTTGTGAAAATTATATAAGACTGATCTAAATCTGTTTAAAAACATACTAGTCAATTCTCCACGACGAGACGAATCGAATGGTATATTTTTCAAATCAATATTCAATCGATTTAGTAAAAATAATGAGCTTACTCTAAAATTTAATGCAATTATCCATGTAATCGGCAGAATTAGGAAAAAACATTACATGGAGCGGCTGAATTAGAAACGGACGAAAAATCGATTAAATCTGACCCTGCCCGTGTTTTCACGCTTCTCCTTAATGACTGATAAAGTCTTTTTTAACTAATTTTATATCAATCGATAGAGAAATGTTTGCTCTATTCCGCAAAGAAAAAAATATTACTGCACGACGAATATAACTCGAATCATAAGTGAAATACTAAAGATGTTTTTTTCCGGCAGAATTAGGGCACCAGACTCTAGTGAAAAATTTTCTCATTACTAGGACCGATTTGGGCTCTGTGACTGGTACAGTTGGCTCAGGCGCATCAACAATATAGGTTAGCACCGAATTCATAAAAATTCTGTTGGTTTTAACAGACTTAAAAAATATTCAGTCGTTTTGATACGCTATAACATAATGCACTAAGATCCGAAAAAACCGGCGGCGTA